GAAATATGCTGAGGCTGCTTTAAGGTTCTGGGGGTGAGGGCAGAATACTGCCAGAAAAACTATAAAGACAATTCCATTTGACTTAAACTTACAAATATTACCAAAAAAGGTTAAATTCTTCAGAAAAGTATATAAAATTCAAACAATCTTCAGAATTAATGTGAAAAAAACTATCCATTGATTTTTAACTGTCCCATCCACATTTACTATTAAAATGTCAACCTGCCCATCTATAAACACAGCATGACGAAACAATACAAATTCATTGTGGTAACAACATTGCAGATGGTCAGGCGCTCACAATCCTGTCAAGGTTTACTTGACAGACTAAAATACCAGGAGCGAGGACTGGGAAAGCATTCTAAGGGGAAGCTCACTTACTTTGCATTTATTTTCAACATAAAGTTGAAGACCATTTCAGCCATGATATAAATGGAAGAAAGTTCCTTCATTCATTAGGCAAATATTTACCAAGTGTCTTATTACATTCTAGGCACTTAATAAATACTTAATAGACTATTACTAAAGAGCAGTAAATGCATTTGACCTAACGATGAACAAATGACTGATCCTATCTAGAAAATTTAGTCTACTGGGCATACAAGAGTCTTCTTTAGAGGTACGTTGTGAGAGAAATATGATACAAAGTAACCCATCACTCCACCAAGGTGATTTCTCACCTTTATCAGAAGCTTTATCACAAATTACAAATTTATTACCACTGACAAGGAATCAATAATCAGCACCTCATCCTACCAAACCGATCTTCAAAAAAAGGGTTTTTGAAGGGTTCTCCAATATCCATCCAAAATTACAGCACATTTACTTAATCTACACTTACTTTTCTTGGGTAGAGTAACGGGAGGGCAAGCGTGTACTGGAAACTTAAAGAGGCATTTTCAACTCTTTGAAGAATTAATCAGGGAAAAATTCTCATGTCTTTGCTATTAAAATACCTTCAACTTAACTGGCTATTTAACCCAAATCCCTGAAGTCCAAATGCTTGGTCTTTGGCTTTCCTTAGTTATGAAAGCAGTTGTGTTTAGGGCATCTTTTTAAATAATTTGTGTTTTTCTTCCCCTGTATTTTGCCACTGGTTCAACTCTTTTACCCACAAAAATAAGAAATGCCAAGTCTCCAGCTTCTGAAAATAACATCTGGCACGTGCACATAACAAAAAGCTTGAGACAATGTCCTAGTTTTTATTTAAAACTTTTTCATTTAAAATGAGAATGCCTTTAGCAAAGATTAGACATAAATCAGCTTTTACCTTATTAGGAGATTGCTATTTTCAACATTTACCTTAAACCACAACATGGATTTATCTTCTAACCAGTTAGCTTCCTGTCTCTCCCCAACTAGATTAGACTGTAACTTGTTTGAGCAAGGGAATAGTGGACTGCATGATCTGTTCCTAGCTAATATATTTCAAAAACTCTGTAAGTCTCCATAAAGACATCAATGTTGCTAGCCTTAAGGATTTCTCTAATATTTTAAAGCTATTTTGATAAGAGCAGACGTCCTTAACTGTTATTATAGTTGTATATTAGTGGGTTCTCAAAGTGTGGTCCTGGACCCCTGAGAATTTCCAAAACCCTTTGAGGGGGTGAGGTCAATCTATTTTCATTAATAATAATAATATGTTACTTTTATTTTTTATCCTCATTCTCTTACAAGCATGCAGTGGAGTTTTCCAGGGGCTACATGATGTGTCTCTTAGGAGAGTGAATGCAAAAGCAGACATGAAAATCCAGCTGTCTTCTGTTCAGCTAAACAACAAAAAGACTTGCAAGGGTGTAAAATAATTCCACTCTTCTCACTAAATTTTTGTTTTGAAAAGTATATTTTATATAAGCTATTATTTATGTTAACAGGTAATAGATTATTGTTATTTGTAAATCATTTAATAAATACATATTTCAAATTTTTCTGTTTTAATTTCTTGTACAGCAAATATCAATAGATATAAGCCATACAAACAAAGGCTCTTTGGGTTTTCAATAATTTTTAAGAGTGTAAAGGGGTCCTGAGAACAAAAAGTTTGAGCTGTAGTACACAATTATATAATCTAATACACAGTGCCTTCCACAGATAAGAAGCTCAAGTTAATTCTGAAGAATAATTACTTCTTACACCCCCTAATCTTGTTGAGTAATATATCTTCTTGTAAAGCATAATTCAGCATACAGCCAGTTTGTCGTAGGCCCTATTTATGGGGCTTTAGATATTTAAGTATTTAGAGTCCTCTTTATATTTTCTGACCTGTAATACCACCTTTTTACTTGAATAGTGTATAAGGAGTTTCTCAATGTTCTCACAAAAATTACCTTGTTCATCCTAACAGCAACTTGTGAAGTAAATGTGAAGTATCACCCTTTTTTACAGATGACATAATGAAACCCGTTTAAAGGGAACAGAACCACTTGTCCAAGGATGTATTGCTAGCTAGTAGAGCCTAGGATGTTGGTCTTTTGCAATTTGCCTGGCTGCCTTAAGGCTGTTTCACTGTGGTGTAATTGCAAGTTCCCAAAGAAAACAAGGCAAGGGCATTACTTTTACTGTCTCAGTGCCAAAATAGGGATTTTTTCCTCTTTAATAAGAATGTAATCAGACTCAACACCCAGTCACAGCTTTATTCAACAGATTGGCTACCCTTTTGGTCCTCTATCAAAAAAACAAGAAAGAAAGAAAAAAGAAATTCAAGAGTGTTGGGGAATAAATACCAGAATACATAACACTCTAAGACGAATTAGTTAAGGACTCACAGATTTACTAATCATTTAATCACTGAAACAACAGGCAGGCAAGAACAAGATCAAGCTCAATACAATAACACTAGATTATATCAATGAATGGATGCCAACAGGTTAAATCGGGAGGCCCACACGAAACGGGTTCAATTCACAGAATATGGACAAAAGAAAAAACCCACATAAAGTTGCGAAACGAGCTTTATTGGTTCTACAAAGCCAAGCACATGACTAGAACCCCCCTCACAAAGCCATGTCACAGACAAACTTGGTTGTAAGATGCAAAGACGCCATCCTATCCCTTGGACAGAAATCACCCCTCCCTTAGGGCTAGACACACTAGTTTGTTCTTGACATCGGCACAAGTCTCTTAGTTATGCTCCATTTTAACTTAAGTTCCTCAAGAGATACTCAGTTTTCTGCATCTCTTTTCCACACACAAGGGGACTCCCTGACTGACAAAGGCAAGACTGACTCACAACAGGGTATCTGCCACTTACATAAACTCTTTACCTTTTTTAGATGCATGTGCCCAGCGAGGCCATTTTTAAATTTGATGTGATTCTACCTAGAAAAAGCCAGAAGTGTGCTAACTGTCCACTTTGTATCCCTGTAGTTTACTACAGATGGCAAGGGTCATTTCATCATTCCTCATGGGGTATGCTTTTCCTAGTGTTTCCTTTGGTCATTTTTTTTCAAATCTCTTTTGGAAAAAAAATGAAAAGTTACAGTTACAACACCACAGCTATTGCTACAATTTCAGCTGCACCGCCAACCAATTTGAAAAGCAATTTGATACACCTTATTCGTTGTTCCATGCTCAACATTCACGGTGGAAGATACATTCGTAGGTAAGCTAATTTATACCAGTTTCTACACTCTCATAAAAGAACTGCAATACTGTAATAAACTAAAACCAATTAACCGGTTAATCTTTAAAGGCTTCACGCAGAGAAAGATAAAGCAGCAAACCTCTAGGAGCTTCAAGAAACCGCGGTTATTTCTATTCCTTATCCTAGAGTACATTTTTCTTTGTGGTGTTACCCATGTTTTTTTCCAAGGACATAATCACTCTTTAAGAAGTAACCTGTCAAAAGTGTTAAGGCATTCTCTAAACTATCTTCCCAGCTCTGGCCCACAATGAGAAATGTCACCCAGCTAAATCGTACCATTGCTGTCTTCCTATATTTCTTCAAGTGAATTTAAGATTTTTGAAACGCACAATTCAAATTTTACACTACCACCCAAGCTACCACTGAACATCTCAAAGCTAATAAACAAAGACGGTGGCGGCGGCACCAGGGCCCTACCAGGAAGTAATCAAAGCAGTGTGGCCGGTGCGATCCTAAGTCGCTAGAGCAGACAATAAGAGGACACTGGGGGTTCCCAGGGGCCCGGAGGAAGGAGTTAAGATGCTTAAGCAACGCAAAACATTACATAAACCTAATAACTGTTCTACAGCACATGGACTCGGGAATCCCAAAGCAATTTCAGACAACCCAAAAGATCTGAAAGGCAACTCGAGCCGCCCCTTCAAAGCAGCTGCTGGCTCAGCCTCCCGAGCTTTTCAGTCCGCAGCCTGTTTTCCAACTTCACCCTCCCCGGCTGATGAAAGACTCCGACCTCGGCCGCCCGAGTTCCGAGCGCCTCTCCCGGCTTGGGGCTCCCGCCTGGGTGGATCGGGTCGCCCGAGTCTGCGGGGAAGCGAAAGGAAGCGGGGCAGGCGGCGGAGCACCCCAGCGCACCCCGTAGCCCAGACAAAGCTGCGCCCGGAGAGCAGCGCTTTTCCCGTCCGGGCGAGGAGGGGACGCAACTCGGGCCCCGCCACACGTGCGGCGCCTGGTGGGGGCCGGACACCGGCTCCCACAGCCCTCGACCCCGCACCGCCGGCGAGCACAGCCCCCGGGCACTGCAG